AAACACTTTGAGGCAGTCGTGGAGACAAGAGGTTTCGGAACCCTAACCGATGATGTACTATCTCACTTGATCTCTAGCGATCAGTTGGTAGTGAGCAGAGAGGAGCAGGTAGTGGAGGCGATTTTCACGTGGGCGGCTTCAGCCAGTAATCTGTCCAATCCCAGCCTAGAAGAGTATTTGTCTTGTCTGCCGAACTTTGTGCGCTGGGAGGAGCTTTCGGGGCAGTGTCTTTCAGAATTACTAAACCGCGATCGCCCGCAGCCCCTCGACAATTCCTGCACGTAAGTCTCTGGCTCATTCTATCTTGTTCTTTTGACTGCCTTCACCTCATGGCATTCAGAAAGCAAACGCTACGTGGTAGTGTACTAATTCTACGCTGACAGCTAACCGAGTCTTCTTGCGAATGTGCATCCTGTGTGTTTGGTTGGCGGATTGACATCTGAGCCAGCGGCCAACCAAGTGCGTGATTGACTGGCTGAAAATGAACCAATCACAAACATGTGATAAGGCATACTCACGCACTTACTAGGACTGGTCACGATTTAATAACCTAACATTGCTCTTTGGCATTGGGCTCAATGTGGACTACATGACTTGTACGTCACTCTGCGCTGCGTTAGAATGTTGTTGTAAGCGATAAATAGCACCGTACCGAATACGCAAATTATCTGGCGAATTTCTGTGCAACGGGAACATGAAGACGAATGCCTTATGAGGTCCGCAGGATCCCAACTGGACGAAAGTTGAGTTTCTGAGTGGTAGCAAAACATCCGCAATTCACTGCGAATAAAATTAGACACACAACTCACATGATAGTGCATAGTGATTGAACACTGCAATTGCCAAAATTATGACAACTCGTCCCTGAATGATTTGCAAATTTTGGTCCAAATTGAATTTATTTCAAAAGTGCGCTAGCCTCGTGCGCTAATGACCTCATTGATGTAGTTCTAATTAACAAAGAGAATTAAAAATCGGTTTATAATGGGAACATCAGTCCAATCAATATATTTTTGTATTTAACTGTGTGTCTGTGTTGAAAGTAAGGCATCTTAAGGAATTTAAGTTGAAGTCGGGTGCATTCTTCGGAAAATATAATTTATTGCGTGCATTTTCAAGCTATAGGGCTGCCGGCGCGGACTTTTATATGACCTCCAGAGCAAAAAATAAACTTAATTGTTCCAATACCACATAAGCGATGCCCACATATTCATCATATTCCCGATCTCAACCGACAAATCGACGAGCCCGTGGTGCAATGGTAGAGTGGTTATCTCAATGACTAAAGGTCCCGGGTTAAAATCTCGGAGGTTCGACCCTTGAGACTGGGAATGACTGGCTGATGGCAGCTAACAAGCCGTAAGAAAAACAACATGCGAATGGAGTTAAGAAAAGGGTGGTACTTCAGTTTAAAACTCCCGCACATGATAAAGGTACTACCAGTTAGCTTTATTTGGATCTGCTGCATTTCACATAATTATTCAAAACCTCGATAAACCCGGCGAACATTTGTGCATAAGTTTATCAACCGGGCATCGAAGCACATCTCTTCGGGAATGGTCACTTGGTTATCGAACTGCCCCAGCCTACAATTGTTGTTTTTCTAGACTCAAAGATGTGAGCAGGATGTTCCATGTGATACGAGAGTGGGGATCAAGCTTCCGCTATGTCAACCCACAGTTGATGAACTCAAATATGCAATATGTACAAAAACGTGGCAATAACAATAAACCACTTTATGCGGATTTAAAAATTTAAGGGGATGTAAAATTTACTATTATGTCTTTTCAGAAATACGAAACATTTTAAGAAATCACTGTAACTCCGACTAATAACTGTAGAGATATTTTTCAGATGAAACCATGAACAAACAATTTAGTGCATATTAAATGAACCCTACATTCGCTAGAAGTTTCCATAGGTTTATAGTTGATTCATTATAATAAGTTCTTAAAGGTCTGGTGAATACTTCATGATTTTTCTGTTTTCCGAATCTTATTTCCATAAGTTTAGCTTATGT